GGTGAGGAAAGAGTGACATAAATAATTAAAACCATTTTTGGTCCCAAAAATTAATATGATAGTGCCTGGGTAATGGGAGGCACCTTTTGAGGAGTCAGGTTGAAGCCTAAATGATATAGCAATGTGAAGATCTGAGGATAGAACATTCTAGGTTGCAGGAATAGCACACACCATTGCTCTGAGACAGAAAGGAGCCCCACTTCAGGCTGAAGGACAGTAAGCAGTGGGGAAATTGAGGGGGCCGAGGTCAGAGTGCTGGGGATAATGGCAAGGCCATAAAGAACCCTCTAAGCCTATCAGTGTTCACAGGCTTGTAATCGGGATCTTAGAGGATAGAACTGGGGTGAAGTGATCAAGTCAGGAATCAGGACTGCAGTGAGTAAAGGAATGAAGGGGAGGTGAAGAATTAGAAACAGTGAGTGTAGCTATTTCTTCCAAGAAGCATGCCTGCAGAGACAGAGGGAGACCCAGTTACAGGAGAGGTCAAGAGAAGGTTCCGTTGTAAAAAGGGTAAGCTCTGTTAATGTACTGAGTGGAAAGCACTATTAGGCAAACACTGAAAATCAAGGGGAAAGACCAGCTAACTGACAGGCAAGAAAGAGCAGAAGGTGGCCAGGCATGGCGGCTCACACCTGTAATCATAGCACTCTGGGAAGCCAAGGCAGGAGGATCACTTGAGGTCAGGAGTTCAAGACCAGCCTGAGTAAGAGTAAGATCCCATCTCTACCAAAAATAGAAAAATTAGCTGGACGTTGCGGCACGAGCCTGTAGTCCCAGCTACTTAGGAGGCTGAGGCAGGAGGATTGCTTGAGCCCAGGAGTTTGAGGTTGCTGTGAGCTAGGCTGATGCCACAGCACTCTAGCCTAGGTGACAGAGTGAGACTCTGTCTCAAAAAAAAAAAAGAAAGAAAGAACAGAAGGTACAGGGAACTGGACTGGGGGGAGGGAAGAAGAAGTGAAAGAGAAGCATCCAGAACACAAATTTAGACAGGGCCACCATCTTCCCTGAGATGAGCAAGAAGGGAGGCAGGAATGGGGTCAGGTGCTTGAGACAATATGGATTATCTACTCTGGGATCTTGGGATACTGACTGAGGAGTCACAGAATAGCAGGTGAACACAGAGCCCAGGTAGGAAGAGAGAACAAAAGGCACCATCCAAATGTCAGCTGCCCGCCACACCCAACTGTGCAAGAACTATGGACACAAAAGCAAGAGAAAGGCCAGATCCCTGATGTTATTTAACCCCAATAGGAGTGGAGTGAAAAAGGCAGACAACTGGCTTAGTGTAGGGCTGGTGAACTCCAACAGACACGGAGGCTGTAGGCCAGATCCAAGTGCTCTGACTGCAAACACAACTTCAAAGCACCTAGATTTCCAGGAATTTCTAATGGTACAAATCAGTTACCTGTCAAAGGCTTCTACCATCGTACAGCGAGGCTGCAAAGACTTGGTCCTGATGTCATTGGTAATGTTTTTCCTCTCCTTAAAGTAGCGGCACGAACCCTGGATGCCATCCTTATTCTCTAAGATCATATGAATGGGGTAGACATCTTCCAAAGGGACTGGGTCCCTCCTGGACTCCAAAATTCCAGTCTCCAAATCAATTTCTTCATACCTAAGGGGAAAAACACATATATCAAACCCCAACTCAGCTTCCAAAGTAATGCAGGCTTGGGTTTGTTCTTTTGACAACCTCCAACAAAGATCAGAGAACAGTGAGATCACTCAGTCTTCCTGCCTTACTAATGCAGATAATCAGGACAAGCAGGTTCTTGTCTTTCCATCCCAGAGAACACAGACCTTTCCAGGATCCCCCAAACTACCCTAGAAGCTGGAACCTAAACCACCATGCTAGCCCAGGTCATGGCCTTTTGGATTTCCTCCAAATCTGGCACTTAGTCTCCACACCAACAAGTTTGGACTAAATGATTCGAGGCTTTTTTGCTTTAAGATGTCATCTTTCTACCTCTCTATATTTATCTCTCTAGTACTCTCATCCATTTTTATGGTTTTAATTATCACCTGCATGTTAATAACTCTCACCCTTGAATTCTTGGTCCTGTCTTTCCCCCCAAACACCAATCCAATGTCATCCTTTGTCTATCAAACACCTCCCATTCCAAAGTTATGGCTGCCTCTCCCCATCTCCAATCTAGTCCCTCCTTTCCCCTACTTGGTACCACATTCTCCCAGTTGCCTCTTAACAACACCATGGAGATATCTTTGATTTGTGTTTCTTCTTTTATCTAGTCAGCCAAATTTATCAAGTTTTCCTTTGAAATCTCACTCACATCCTACACTAGACTAGCTGAGGCTAAATCCCATACACACTTTTCAACCCTTTCCTTTCCTTCCTTTCCCTCTCTGTGACTTCTGCACTATTTAACCCTCCATTCTCAAATCATGTCTTCTCCCAACTTCCAGGACACCATCTGGCCTGACTGTCCTCTACCTCTCCAGCCACACCTCCTCAGTCTTATTTTGAAGTTTCCTCATACTCCACCCAGCCTTGAAACGTACATGCGTCTCAGGGCTGTCTGAAGATCTCCAATCACACTACACTCTCTCCTAGGGATGATCTTAGCCAACAGTTTTAATTACCAACTATATGGGATGACTCACAGATGTCTAGTTCAGTCCCTCCCTCTGGCCTGCTGTTGCTCTGTGAAGCCAGATGTTTACTAATTAGACTCTTCAATTGGACAACCCAAAGGAACTTCAATGTGTCTAAAGTCCATCCAGGACCTTTCCCACCTCCCCCAGACTCAACCACTCCGATCATTGCTCTTCTGTGTTCCCTGCCTCAGGGAAGGGTATCAGGATTCATTCAGGTGCCCAAACAGTGGCACCATCCTTGATTCCTACCTTCCTTACACCCCACATACAATCAATCTCCAAATCCTCTTGATTCTTCTGCCTAATATGTCTTGGTTCCATCTTTTCTTCAGTCCCACACTCACTATGATAGGACAGACCATGACTGCTTGTCCATGACCAGATTACTACAAATCTCACCACTTTCTCTTTGCCCCTAGTCTGACCCTCTCTTCAATAGCTTCCATCTGTACTTTGGATAAAGGATAAACTGAGTGGATTAAAAGTTCATTGAGGCTGGGCATGGTGGCTCACGCCTGTAATCCTAGCACTCTGGGAGGCAGAGACAGGAAGATAGCATGAGGTCAGGAGTTCCAGACCAGCCTCAGCACGAGGGAGACCCACCCTGTCTCTACTAAAAATAGAAAGAAATTAGCCGGGTGTGGTGGTGCACGCACGCCTGTAGTCCCAGCAATTTGGGAGACAGAGGCAGGAGGATCGCTTAAACCCAGAAGTTTGAGTTTGCTGTCAGCTAGGCTAACGCCACAGCACTCTAGCCCAGGCAACAGAGTGAAACTCTGTCTCAAAAAAAAAAAAAAAAGTTTATTGATTCCAGTCTATTTCAGTTACAAGCAAAGTAGATTCTGGACCTAGATCTCCTGGATTCATATTCTGGGTTCTGCCCTTGCTAGGTGATGACTTTCAGCAAGTCACTTAATACTCAGCACCTCAATTTTCTTTTCAGGAAAATGTGAATAATACGACTCACCTACTAAGTGTACTGTAAAAATTAGATAACATGCTATATGTAAGGATCTAAGCACAGTCCTTGATCATAATAAGCATATATAAAAGTCAACTATTATTCCTCATTCCCTACCTCCAATTACACACTTCTACCAAACTTAACTTACTCCTCCTCCTTCCTTTCACACTTGCTGTTATTTGTGCACAGTACTCTGCCAACTGGCTGTCTAAATCCAATCTCTGAGTTTTGTCTTGGACGTTATTACCTCTGGGAACCTTCCCTGAACCTCACAATATGGCTTAAGAGCACAGACTCTAGAGACAGACAGCCTGGGGTTAAACCAATTCGTAGTCACTTATTACCCCCATAACCTTGGACAGGTTACTTAACCTCTCTCTGTGACTCAGTTTCCTCCTCTGTTAAATGGGGACAATAACAGCACCTACCTCCTAGGGTCACTGTGAGGATTAAGTGAATTCAATCTCCTGAAGCTCCTAGAATAGGATCTTAGAACAGTACCTAGCCATAGAAAGCGCCCTTAAAGATCAACTATTAGTATCATCGCTAACTTGCTGAAGTGCAAGCTCTCTAGCTGCCTTAGCCTCTCCAGTCTGGCACAGAGTGAATGCTCCATAAAGGTTTGCTCGTTTCAATCGTTCCTAGTTTGGTTCTGAATTGCCTTCCTGCTCCAATCCTATCCTACAATTTAAAGGGATTGTTCTTTGGAGCCTGAAGAATACCCTCCCAGTCCTGCTCACCACCTCCCCCAAACACGCGCGCGCACACACACATACATACACCCACACACGCACACAGACTGACGAGGCGGGATATCAGATAACACCTCAACTCCATCCGACTCCTGGGCCCTACCAGGCCTGAGGGACCCCAAATCAGCCTTACCGCCGCGCCGCCCCCGCCCAATTCGGACTCGCGGTGCCCCTTCGGTCCCCCCGCCCCGCTCTGGGCTCCTCCAGCCCCTGGGCCCCGCGCCCGCCCGCCGGGCCAGGCCGCTTGCTGACCGGTCCTGAAGCTGGAGGTCGGGTCGCTCCCGAGGCTCCTCATAGAAGCTGATGCCCGGGTGCGTGGCCAGGGCCCGCCACAGAAACTCCTGCGTGTAGGGTTCCAAAGGCAGCGGGAAGGGCGGCACTCGCGTCTCCAGACGGCTCCACAGCGCGGGCAGACACAGGCCATCGAGCCCCTCCAGAGACACTTCGTCCAACAACGACTCCAACGCGTCCATTGCTACTTCGGTTGGCAGTGCCCGGGGCGCCTGCGCACCACACCATCAAGGGCCCTGGTCCAAAGCGCCTGCGCACAACGATCGGCGGCCCAGGGAGGCGGGTCGGACTTGGAGCTCGCAGGAGGAGTTCCAGCGCGCCCGCGTGACGTCACTAGCTTGAGGGGGCGGGCTCAGTGAGTGGCGCTCCATCGCCATTGGTGCGGAACTCCGCAGTAACCAGGGGAACTGCAAACAGTGTAGAGGCCGCTTCCGGTTCGAGCACCCGGAACCGCCGCCTCTAGGGATGGATGGTGAGTGTCCGTGGGCCCCTTCAGGAGGTCGGGAGTTTCTCTCCCATCTCTCCTGAGCCCTCCGTGGGCAGGATCCTAGGCCACAGACCCCTGGACCACCACTTCCGGTCCCAAGATGTTCTTCGATCGTAGGGAAAGGGAGGCTTAGTGGTCCTGAACGCAGAGGAGAGGCCGGGCTAGTGGTCACTCTGCCGAGATGTGGTCGTGAAGGAACCGGTACTGGCCGGGGCTCCGTGAAGGGACTCACAGTGGGGAAGAAGTAGAGGTTTGAGGAGGATCTTGTGTGTCCTGGGATGTGGAACTGTGGGATCTGGGAATTGGTGTGGAGGTGAGCTTGATCGTGGGGAGTACAGTCAACAGCTACTAGGAAGGGAGTTATTAATAGTATGGCGAGTGGAGGGAGAATGAGAATACTTCCTTTCTGTGCTTTGACATTAATAATAATACCCATGTTAACAGAGTACTGTCCGGTACCAGGAACTCTGTGAGTGCTTTTTGAGGTCAGTGTTATCCCATTTTACAGATGAGAAAACTGAGACCCAGAGAAGTTAAGTAACTTGCCCAAAGTCAAACAGCCAAAACAAGTGGGAGAGTAAGTGAGGAACCCAGACACTCTGCCTCTGGAGCTGAATTATGGAATTTGAGATTTGGAAAGGTTTTCAGGGATCCTTCATTGCAGAGGTTGCAAATGCAAATGTCTGCAGAGGAAAGTCTAGTGGGCTGGATTGGGGCTGTCACTGAAAATCAATTCTCCATCTAAAAGAGAAACTGCTCACTGAGCTCTAGTCAATTGTCTTAATGAGGCACTTCTCAAAATACTGTGATGGCCAATCAGTCTGAAGGCCAGAGGTAGCCTGTGGGCCGCCATTTAGGGATCCCTGATTAGAATCATCATATTGACAATTGGAAGCAATCAGAAAATAGGCTACTCTAGTATCTCACTTTGCAGATGGAAAGACTAACAATCTAGAGAGACTGGTGGGGTCTGTACTATAATCCAGATCATATTCCTTATTACACCACCGTCCTTTCACTTCTGGGAAATTTGTTCCTGGGGAATTTGCATTTCTTTGATATCCCCTGAATGCAGTATGGAAAAAATGTTTTTCATTGAACATTCTGTCATGTGCTTAAAAGATGTCTTTGCCCTTTGTACTTTAGAGGTCCTATAAAGTGTCATTTTCCAGTTTGCCCTGTGGAAAGGTCAATGTAATGTTGCTATAGAACAACCATTCTCAAACCTTTTAGCTTCATAACACCTTCATGCTCTTACCTCAAAGAGCTTTGCTTATGCATATTATATCTCTGATATTTACCATACCGGAAATCAAAACTGAGAAAGTCTTAAAACATTCATTAGTTCCTTTAAAATGGCAACAATAAACCCATTATTTCTAAATATAAATACTATTTTTAATGAAATGCAGCTGTATTTTCCCCCCAGGAAAATTAATAGGAAATATAGCATTGTTTTACATTTTCTCAAATCTGTGCCATGTGTGAGTTAATAGAAGTAATAGAAAACAGCTAAACTCTCATTTCTGCTTTAGCATTCACACCGTTTTGTTATGCTATTTTGGCAGATTATATATAGAGAAAATCTGGCCTCACACATAAATAATTAGAACAGAGAGGAGTATTTTAATTGCCTTTGAAATGACTGACATTCTTCTTTGATACCACACTAGAATTTAGCAAGTGGCACTTTCTTAAAGGTTAGTCACCACGTGGCATCCGAAACCATATTGGTGAACTTTTGTACTGTGTTATATTAAAATCTATTGGTCTACCTTGTCCTTTGGTTACTTTACCCATATATGGTTATATAATATCAGCCATTAGTTATTTTGAAAATGTTGGTTCACTGTGATATGCAAATCTTCTAAATGTTGACATTTGAAATGTCATTATACAATATCAAAAATCACACTTGTTGGCTGGGCATGGTGGCTCACATCTGTAATCCCAGCACTCTGGGAGGCTGAGGCGGGAGGATCGCTCAAGGTCAGGAGTTCAAGACCAGCCTGAGCAAGAGTGAGACCTTGTTCCTACTAAAAATACCGTGTTTTCCTGAAAATAAGACAAGGTCTTAGATTTATTTTTCCTCAGGAAGACACTGTAGGGCTTATTTTTAGGGGATTTTTTTTTTTTAAGTACGGTACAACAATCTACATTTATTCAAATATAGTTGTCATCTTCTTCTGGAACATCAATCATAACTCTCCAAATTCCGAATTCCATCCTGAATTTCCTGCAACTGTATTTCCTTAAGAATCATTGGCCCCAATCTCTCATGTCGAGCAATAGAGCTCTCATGGGGCAGATGAGAAGGGCTGCTTGTTCTTTACCGCTCTGTATCGAAATGCATGGGTTGTGCAGATATGCTGCGTAGCCATGCCCATCACTAGGTCTTATTTTCAGGGTAGGGCTTATATTGCTCAAATGCTTAGAAATCCTGCTAGGGCTTATTTTATGGGTAAATCTTATTTTCAGGGAAACAGTAGAAAGAAATTAGCTGAACAACTAAAAATATATAGAAAAAATTAGCCGGGCATGGTGGCACATGCCTGTAGCCCCAACTACTTGGGAGGCTGAGGCAGAAGGATTGCTTGAGCCCAGGAGTGTGAGGTTGCTGTGAACTAGGCTGATGCCACGGCATTCTAGCCCGGGCAACAGAGCAAGACTCTTGTCTCAAAAACAAAACAAAACAAAACAAAACAAAACAAAACACTTGTTAATATTACCACGCATCTCGTTTTTTTAAAAAAAGTTAAAAAAAAAAAGAAAAGAAAAGAAAAAAAGGCTCTGTCGCCAAAAAAAACCAAAAGAGTTTAAGTATTGGGAAGCTATTAAACTCAAGGCAATAGAAACAAGTTTTCCACTTGTTTTCATTTGAAAGCTTGAATTTCATCATTGGCAACAAATTCTGCCAGTTGTTTACTTGAAGTGGCAGGCTCACTTCATTTGTATTTGAGAAAATGTCTGCCAGGTACCCAAGTCTGAGTAACCATAATTTCTCTGTTACTTGTTCGTGCAAGTAAAAATGGCGTTTCATACAAAATGCAGTTAGTTCACCTGGCAACTCAAATAATTGCAGAAGTGTTTTCTGAGATCAACCTTTGTTTTTGGCTTGCAACAGAAGTGTTTTATGTGTACTTCCCATTTTTCCACACAAAATATTAAAAAGATGTGTCCTCATGAGTTGAGATTTAATAAAATTATTTTTTACTGTTCCATCAGGACATACTTACGTGAAAATGATTTGTTTGTTTTACTGTGAGCACAGAGCGGTAAAGAATAGCTACTAGTACAATTTGGCACCACTGCCTTGATTCAAGCTACAAGCAGTTTTACCCATCATTGCTTTGTGTCATTAGTACAAATGTCAACACAGTGAAAATGTCTTAGACTTAATGATTAAAATAGTTTTTGTCTTTGTGGATCCCTCCTCTCCCCCCCAGGATCTGTGGAATACACTTTGAGAAACACTACTATAGACCATTTTCAAGAACCCTGTTTTGTCACTTCTAATTGTTATCATCTCTACTTGTAGAACATTATTAGGGCCCAATGGAGAAATCTGTTCATTTTTAGACTGATTACATAAAGGAGTGATTTATTCTAAGAAAGGCTTTACCCTAAGATTAAACTTTCAAAGAATCCCATTTTCTGTTCTAATTTTTAAAACTTTGATTTACACATGATTTTATGGGCACAAAACGATCAGGCAATGTGAAGCATACCTTAAAGAATTGTGAACTGGGCGTGGTGGCTCACGCCTGTAATCCTAGCACTCTAGTAGGAGGCCAAGGCGGGAGGATCGCTCAAGGTCAGGAGTTCAAAACCAGCCTGAGCAAAGAGCGAGACCCCATCTCTACTATAAATAGAAAGAAATTAATTGGCCAACTAAAAAATACAAAAAAAATTAGCCACACATGGTGGTGTATGCCTGTAGTCCCAGCTACCCAGGAAGCTGAGGCAGGAGGATCGCTTTGAGCGCAAGAGTTTGAGGTTGCTGTGAGCTAGGCTGATGCCACGGCACTCTAGCCCGGGCAACAGAGTGACTCAAAAAACAGAGAAAATGTCTGACTCAAAAATAAAAAAAAAACAAAACAGAATTGTGATTCTAGCCAAATAGTAGACTATGTCTGGCCTTATTAGAAAGATGTTTACTTCCTAAACTCACAAAAGCTCAAATGTCTGGCAGCTATCCCCAAACTGGACTGTAGTTTGGTTTATTCTGCGTGTCCAAATGAGCCTAGCTTTTTATAACACTTTCCCTGGCCCATTGGTTTTGACTCTGGGCAGGTCTTGTCTGTCTCTGTGATGCAACGTATGTAATGCTCTGAGGTTTGGGGAACCATATAACCTTGGATTTGGATCTCAGCCGTGCACTTTGACCTCTCTGAGTCGCAGTTTTGTCATCAGTAAAATGGAAATGATGATGAAGCCTACCTTGTTTTGTGGATCAATGAAACAATGTCTGAAAGCACTTACCACCAAGTCTGGAATATAGAAAAGTGTTCCTACATGGTAGCTGATGCTGCCCATCTGCAAAGGGGCAGACTTCTTCCACACTACTCACAGAAGAGGGAAGAGCTGCCGATGAAGCTCTCTAGCAAATAATAATCTTGCAATTAGCTCACTCTTTATTTAAAAGAAAACCCAATATTTGACATTTTTTATTTACATCAACGCAAATTGGCAGTGTGTGAGTTTTCTGCCTGTGAAAATGTTCGTTCACCTTTGTGTTAAAGTCAAATTTTCCCCAGTGCTTTTAAAATATGAGATGGTTTAGGGGGAAAAAAAATTCTACTTCATTTTCAAGGAACATAATAATTAGACAAAAGTTCAGCACGTCAATATAATTAGAAAGGATTGGAAGGCTGTTCATTTGCTTTTTACTCCCCCTGCCCCCACCAAGCAAATATTCAACATTTCCCCTGTTTATACTGTTCATTTGCTTAGCAAACTTTCTCGAAGAATTAATAATGCCAAGA